CAGATTTACCATTGAAAATGGGTTCAGGGTATAATGCAATGAATTAAATCCAAAATCAATATAAATATAAAATTTGCGATACTCTATTTAAATCCAGCATATCGAATCCTTGCAGTCTCTCTTATAATATTCACGCTCGCTATCTCGCTCTTTAGATGTTAGTTACGCTGCTGACTCTTTTACTGACAAACTGCTCTCTCCTTTTCCTTTCTATTTTTGTTTTGTCTCTTTTTTTTTATTTTAAATTTTTTAATTTTGTACAAAAAAAAAAAAAAAAAAAAAAAAAAAAAAAAAAAAAAAACAATTGTACCCTAACTGAACTTTTATTTTTGTTAATGTTTTCCTTTTTTTCCTGTTCTAATTTTTCTTTGTTTGCTTTTGATTTGTTTCTTATTTCTTATTTCTCTTTTTGTTTTCTTTCTTTTTTTCGTTTTGTTTTTTGTTTTTGTGTGTGTTTTTACGCTATTTTCTTCACAGTGTTACGACATCAAAAATCTTAATAAGCGGCATACCGCTGCAAACACGTTTCGAAGACATCGAACCGCTACTGAAGCCCTATGGCATCGTCAAACAGTGTGAGGCTATTTCTAGTAAGGATCAAAATACTCAAACAGTACATATAACATTCGAAAATCCTGAGCAGGCGCAAAGGTATATACATTCAACAATACAAAAAAAGTATATATATATATAGAAATAAATTAAACGAAAAACCATCTATAAGAAATTCGAAACAAAAAAATTATCAAAATTGACTTAATACAAGATTTTTGAGTTTTCACTTGGTTCAAAATCTCGTGTTAAGTGTCGAGCATACATACATATGTGCATACATATACACACATATATATATATGTATGCCTATATAGATATATATATGTGTATGTGTGTATATAAATGGGAAATTATCGAAAGCTCGCTGATTTTTCCGTTATTTATCAATTAGTCTCATCGAAATTCGAACCTCTCAATATGCGTATGTATGTATATGTGATGTATATGTATGTATATACATATGTATATGTGTATAGTTATTGTAGATCAAATCCCATTCAAATCTCAGTAGTATCTTACTTTTCCACCATTTCGTGGGTTGAGGGGTGGGGGAGGCAAGGAGACATGGCTGTGACTGTGGGGGCGGGGTCGGAAGTGGGGGCTGTCGTGTGTGTCTAGGGCGTTTTGTGATTTTAGCAATCATATATATGTGATATATATATACATTGCCTGTCGATCTGATCCTAATCGTTATCTGATTATATATATATATGTATATCAATTTATATATATATGTGTATATACACAACACTTATGCATACATACATACGTACATATGTATATTCATCAAAACTGTCCCCTTCTATCACTTTTCTCACACTGATCGAATTTTTCTCGTCTCTTCTCTTTGTTTTCGTATCATATTTTTTGTTCCGTTTTTAATGCTTGTTTATTTTTCTTCCGTTTCTGTTTTGTTTTCGCTGTTTGTTTTTGTCGCGTCGTCGTCTCCCATAGAGCTGCTGGTGGCCTGAACGGCGTCGAATTCGAGGGCAGTAAACTGCACGCCGAGCAATTGGACAAAAATCAACGCCGAAGCATACGCAATCAGCGCAATCCGTATCCGGGAATGCCGGGACCCGGCCGCCAGGCGGACTTTCCGCTACGCATTCTGGTGCAGAGCGAGATGGTGGGCGCCATCATTGGCAGACAGGGCACAACCATACGCACCATCACACAACAGAGTCGGGCCCGTGTCGATGTGCATCGCAAGGAGAATGTTGGCTCCCTCGAAAAGTCCATTACGATTTATGGCAATCCGGAGAACTGTACCAATGCGTGCAAGCGCATACTGGAAGTTATGCAACAAGAGGCATTGTCCACAAATAAGGGGTAAGAGAAGCAATATATTATAGAACGATCTATATATACTTAGACTTATATCTCTCCCTCCCTCTCCCTCTCCCTTATGTTGCAGTGAGATCTGCTTGAAGATACTCGCCCATAATAATTTAATTGGTCGCATCATTGGAAAGAGCGGCAACACGATTAAACGCATTATGCAGGATACGGATACGAAGATAACCGTTAGTTCCATCAACGACATCAACAGCTTCAATCTGGAGCGTATCATCACGGTGAAGGGCCTCATCGAGAACATGTCCCGTGCAGAAAACCAAATCAGCACCAAACTGCGCCAAAGCTATGAGAACGATTTGCAGGCAATGGCGCCTCAGAGCCTCATGTTCCCCGGTCTCCATCCCATGGCAATGATGTCGACACCGGGCAACGGCATGGTCTTCAACACAAGCATGCCGTTCCCCTCGTGTCAAAGCTTTGCCATGTCCAAGACACCGGCCAGCGTGGTGCCACCGGCCTTCCCCAACGATATGCAGGAGACCACGTTTCTCTATATACCAAACAATGCAGTTGGGGCCATCATTGGCACCAAGGGCTCGCACATACGCAGCATAATGCGCTTCTCGAGCGCATCCCTCAAAATTGCGCCCCTCGACGCCGACAAGCCGCTGGACCAACAAACGGAGCGCAAGGTCACGATTGTTGGCACACCGGAGGGTCAGTGGAAGGCGCAGTATATGATATTTGAGAAGATGCGCGAGGAGGGTTTCATGTGCGGCACGGACGATGTGCGCCTAACCGTTGAGCTGCTTGTCGCCAGCTCCCAGGTGCGTAAGCCGATATAGAAGCGCATGTAGAAGCATAGATTGATCCATGCTGTAGTAGCTTCAGTGAATTGGTATATTCCATATATTTTATACATTGTATTTCCGTTCATCCTTCAGGTCGGACGCATCATTGGCAAGGGCGGACAGAACGTGCGTGAGTTGCAACGTGTGACGGGTAGCGTCATTAAGCTGCCAGAGCATGCGCTGGCGCCACCCTCAGGCGGCGATGAAGAGACACCTGTGCACATCATTGGGCCATTCTACAGCGTTCAGGTAAGACATTGAGTGGAGTCATAGTAATTGTAATAGTGCATGAGTTATTTAACAATTGTTTAATGGATTTTGCAGTCTGCACAGCGACGAATTCGTGCCATGATGCTATCGACAAATCCGCCACCAGTGACCAAAAAACAGAAGGCTGCCAAAGAACAACAATTGCAACAACAACAACAACAACAACAGCAACAGCAACAACAACAGACATTAGCCGGCGCTGCGCCAAGTGGGACTCAACAGCAGCAGCCGCAGCAGCAGCAACAACAACAGCAGCAGCAGCAGCAACAGTCGCCGTCGCAGCAGCAGCAGCCGCTGCCGCCGCAATCACATCATCAATCGTCGTCGGCGTCGTCGGCGCCACCTGCGCATCATCAGCAGCAGCAGGCGTCGTCGACAGCGTCCTCACATCAATTGCAGCAGCAGCAGCCGTCGCCGCCGCCCGGCAACAATGCATCGGCTGCCACCCAACAACAACAGCAGCAGCAGCAGCAGCAACAACAGCAGCAGCAGCTGGCGAGTTCACAGCAGTAAGAAGCTGCAGCAGCCGTGTGTGGGACTGGGGCAGGGGCAAGGGCAGTGCAGAAGAGTCGGGCAAAACTCAACTGGAACAACAACGTCAAGAATTTACCATAATGCCAATAGCAAGAAGACAAACCTACATTTGGATTTCTTTGAACTTCAATCAGGCAACAACTTGCAGTTGTTGCAACATCAGCAGAAGCAACATGAAGATCAACAGCAACAACAACAGCAACTCTCGTCCCTCTGCAGCTCAACAAGAAGAGCAAGAGAATTGATAGTAATGCAACAGCGAATGAGCAGCCAAAGAGCAGCAGCGCAGCGCTCTCTAGCAGCTAGGAAGGAGAGCGAGAAGGCAATGTGTACAACTGTCAAATGCTTGCTTATCAAATAAAACACAGGGTGTTCCCAGCATGAGGCGCCTAAATGTTGAATGGCAACGCACTGAATTGTTGTTTCTCATGGTGTGACTGCTCAAGTTTTTGAAATTGTTTATCATTTCTATTAAACAACAAACACACAACCAGACACACACGCACACCACACACACATACCACACTTACCACTCATACATAATTGAAGAGAGATAGATGCCCGATCTTTATTCAGCAGCTTTTTACCACTAAGCCAGTCCCCCTCTGCAGATGAATATTTTGCCTCATGAAAAGAATGAGGAGGAGAGTAACACACAACAAAAAGAAACACAACTAAACAAAAGTAAGAAAAAAATGAAAGAATTAACGAAAAGAAAATTCAAAAACTATGCCCTACGGCAGTAAATTCTTTTTTTTTTTTTTAATAT